TAATAATAATAATAATAATAATAAATTAGAAGAAGCAGCAGCAAATTCTGTTCCACCTCAAGAAAGGGGTCCCTGTGGATAAAACCTTGGGCAACTCTTCCCCGGGCTCGCTCCTTCCCAGTGCGTGAGCGGGAACGCCAGCCCTAGGCCAAACGGGAGCACTGGGTGGAATTTCAGGGGTCCCTCACTGATTTCTGTTTTAACGGAGGCCCCGGGGGCTGCACGGGGCTGCTCTGCAGCGTCGTTTGCTTTGCTGTGGTATTTAGGGGTAATTGCTCCGTACAGCATTGTAACTTCCAGGAGATGGATCGTTATGCCCTCGCTCCTTTTTTTTCCCCCTCTCACAATATATGATGTAGTTTCTGTTTGTAGACTGGTTTAATAGCGAGGTGGCTGAGGCAGAGTTTACTCAATAAACTTGCCTTTCCCCTTGAGCAGCTTTAGCTTCGATAAACAGGCTTTAAAGTCCCGGCTGAGCGTGGGACTAGGACTCTACCGTTCATCAGTGTTAGTTAATTGCTACTTGGCTAAATATTTAGTTTGGAATAAGATCTTTTACGCTCTTTTCTTAAAAAAATAATAAACAAAGGTGTGTTTAGTAATGCAGTAAAAGGCTTTCTAGAAGGCTTTTTAAAGATAAAGGGAAGCCCCATAAAGTTATTTTCTATATTTTGTGCGTAAATTTTCTCACTTGCAGTTTGCCGCGGTGGTGTTTGTAACGAGGCACCCGCGGCAGCAGGGACAGCCGGCTGTTTTCTGGAGGGACTGCAGACTGCTTGTCTTCCTCATTTCTTATTCCTAAAAGAAAAAAAAAAAAAATGCACTTTGCATCACTGTTTAACTCCACTAAATCCAACTCAGGGCCTGCGATTTGATTTCAGTGTCAAAGCACCGTGCAAAGGAAGGGCAGGTTTGGAAAACGCACCGAGGGTGGACTTACTTAATTCAACAGGCTTAGGAGCCAGCGGGAGCAGCCCCGCTTTCCCACCCCCCCGATCCCCCCCATGGGGGTTTAATGAGCAGCAAGGATGAGGCTCTGAGGTTCAGGGCCAAGTCTCAAAGCAGCCCTTTGCTTTCAGGTACCGGGGGCCCTGCAGAGGCGAATGGCACCAGCAGCAATGGCAATGGCAATGGTGAAGGGCACCAGCACCCCGACAGCGTCTGGGCTGCACGGGGCTCCCCGGAGCGCAGAGCCCGGCCGGGGGACGGGACCCGACCCCATCGTTGCAGGAAATGGCACGGAGCGGGTGGATCAGGTGGGGACATGGAATGGGGGGAAGGCCTGGGAGAGGCAGAGGCGAGCAGAAAGCCCCCGTGGCAAGTGGTAGCCCGCTGCAGAGTCCGTGTCTGCAGGAGCCTTGGTGCCCTGCACGCAGGCCTGCGTTTCGTAGAGCCTTTTTTGGTCCAATGCTGCAAACTCCCGCGTTCTGCAGCAGCGACCCCGTCGTTACATAAACAAGGGTTTAATTTTGGAACTTTGTTATTTAAGAGGCTAAAGTTTCCTTCGCTCAGACATGTTCTCCTGCGCTGCCCGTTTGACAAAATACTTCCTACCTCCATTATCGGCTGCTAACGAAGTGTCCTGCGCTGTGTTCATGGCCCGTTTGGGCGAATATTTGTGCTCGGGATAATTCCCTTTCGCAGTATCTGTGAGACTGGAGCAGGGTTTCTGGAGACGGCATCGCCCCGGCTGAGCTCTCCCCCTGGCTATGCTCTAAGGTGAACAGGGAAGACGAGGAACACGAAAGGTGCGTGGCTGTGAGAGCAGCAAAGGCCAGCATGGGTCCTTACCTACAGCAACGTTACCATTGCAAACCAAGGCCCTTCGGAATACGGAGATCCATCCTGAGATGGGGCCTCCATTGGAAGTGACTCTTGTACCAATGATGCCGATGCCGAAATGAGTGTGGAAACTATGTTTGTAGGTTTGCAGAAGAATACAAATGTGTTTTTCTGTCCTCCTTCGCACATGAGGTGACACCCTCCATGTAAAACTAACTGGAATTAAAAGTCTTGGTGCCTCCGTGCAACCAGGATTATCACAGCGCAGTGTAGGACTGCCAGCTCAGCACTCATCGACTGCTTAGAAATTACTTACTACTAAGAATCCATTCAATAACAATTTTAGAATCCATGTCTTTTTAATTATTTAAGACATAGTCATCTCTTCCCCTTACCTCGGTTTTAAAGACTTTATGAGAATCTGTTGGATCGCTCTGATTTTGATTTAACTCTTTAGCTTCTCAGTACCGATAATTTTGTGTACAAGTGCAGCAAAGTCTTGTAAAAAAGACAGCAGGGTCTTGTAAAACCTTTCTAATGATTTAGGTTTCAGAAAATGTCCTCTTTTGAGGAATAACAGTTGTTCTGATCAAGGAGATGGACAGTACCTCCTGAAGAGTGGCAACTGTGAAATCCTGCAAGACAGTCTA